TCTTGATTGATTGATTGATTGATTGATTGATTGATTGAATGATTGATTGATTGATTGATTGATTGAAACATGTTATTCGTTAAAATAAGACATTATACTGTGTCCTCTTTCTAACGAATTCATTTTTGGCTGCATTCCAAGCAACGTAGGCACGCCCATCCAGGGCTTAAGCACATGCAGAAGTGTGCTGAGATCCGTACTTGTGAAACTTTATAAATGATATCCCAAATGAGGAAGCGTGTTGAAACCCGTACATGTTAGGCACTCCGCACGGGAACCTTGTGCGGAAGTGTGTCGGGATCCTTACTCACTGAACTTCAAAAACGTGGCACTGCTGGGAATTCTTTGCGGAAGTGTGCTGGGATCCGTACCTGTTAAACTTCATAAACGAATAACGATGGGCACGCCCATCAGGGAACCCTGTGCGAAAGTGTGCTGGGATCCTTACTTGTTGAACTTCAAAAATGTGTTGGGAATCTTGTGCCGAAGTGTGTTGGGATCCGTACTTGTTAAACTTCATAAGCGAATAACGATAGGCACGCGGAAGTGTGCTAGGATCCGTACTTGTTAAACTTCAATTTCATAATTGTGATGAGCAATGTGTCATGATTGCATCCTCGTTGGATAATTATATTAGAAGACGTAGAGTAGCGACAGGTACGCCTATCCGGGATGCCTGTCCGATAGTGTATCGGGAGCCACACTTGTCAAACTTCAAGTTTGTAAATGTGATGAGCAAGATGTCATGATTGAATCCTCATTGGATAATACTATTTATTTCGGTTATGCGTGAGTTGTACATGCACGGCAATCATCTTGCCCGAGGCGGTTGTTTGGATGTTGTAGAGATTCAGACTTCTTTAGAAGTACAAAAAGTTATTTTTGACATACAATTTATTTTTCCTGGTCACGAACGCAAAATTGTCGGTTACATGTAATACAGGCGGTCACAAGCACATGATTGTCTATGCACACAAGAGACGTGATATCAGTGGTCTTTTACTCTTTGCACAACGAACCTCACACCCACACACTCGCCAAGATTTGTCTTGCATCCACACTCCAATTCGTCATGTCGCATCACACACACGAATATCATTTCGAGGAGAATTATATGCACAACTTTGGATGACCTGGACACAATTTGCAACAAGGACTGCAATGCGATGAATGTAATGATACGACAGACGAGCCGGACCTGACTGAGATTCCGAAGGCAACACGCGACGCCAGACTGACAGTCAACCTACCAAAGAAAACTCAAACTCGCAACACTAAAAGAAAGTAATGTCGTTGTGAAAGCGACAGTTAAAATATGAAATATTCTGAAACCGAAGTTTGCAAATCAATCGAATCCATCAAAGACAACGGCATTCCAAGATACATTATGCCAATTTTCGTCTAATATGCGGAATATTTTTACAAGAGAACCTGAAAGGCGGCCGATCGCCACGTTGCAACTGTGTCGCAAACATCAATATAAACACCCCGCAACTAACTTCATCCACTTGTCTTGGAACTCCCTCTATAACAACATTTGTTGCTACCGACTTTCAACTCATGCACGACCGCCTATGTGATGTTTGACATTCCAAATAGTGTACGATCAACTCGAAAACACTAAGGTAAAAACTAGAATCGGCTACAACGCAAGGAAAAAAATCGAAAATCTCAAGAACATTATCTCTCAAGTTCACGGAAAGGAGGATCCTGTGATCATTATCTTTGTGGACTGGAAAAAAGATAATATCATATTGAAGCAGATCCACGTTTTTAGCCCATCTTTCCACCCCGCCGTGTCCTTGAAGTTGCAGTTTACTGAAGAAGAAAGAATTAAAGTTGAAGACTCGAAGGCCTGATGGGATGTCACGTATCCCATATGCGGTCGTTCCCAATAGCGCCATATAAAAGTTGACCACCTCATCATTCACCCTGTCGTCGGTAAGTGAGAGGGTGAGAATATCCTTCGCTGCAATTCGCAACTGACCATCGCCGAGGGTCGAGAGTACAGTGTTAGGTGGCACCAAGCCTCGTTCAATGTCGTCCAAAACCCGCAAGCTTCCAATCGCAGTCACTGCTGTTCCAGATGCCGTGGCCCGCACTGCACAACATCGACCAAAAGACAGGGGGGGAAGTGAGAAACGGAACTCTAATGATTCTCCGTCATAGCATGACGAGCAGCTAAGTATTTCTCATACATGGCGTGACCCCTAGTCACAGATCGTGGATATGTCCCTTTCTCTCGGGGCAGAAAAGAAAGACACTCCTCAATGGCAATGACATGCTCCTTCTTCCCGATTTCGACATCAACCCCTACCGCCTTTAACATGTCCTTGTGTTTTGTCGTCAACCCCGGGACTGTCTGCAATATGTGTTCCGGATATTTAGAGGGCCTCCGTGTTCGAGACGACCCTACCCCTGTACAACAAAAGAAAGACAAAACGAAAAATGAATACACGTTTCTGAAGAAGAACCCGACGAAAGGACAATTAAAGAACCACGAAATCTAAAAGACGCAGGACCTATGCAATTACAGAACCCCGTTTTGCCATGAGAGTGCGAGAGAGAGAACTTCCGCATGACCCACGTTGCAAAACAAAACGACCAGTGCACTCGAGCTCGACACCCAACCACAACAAGTCACAGAAGTGAAAGCCAAACATCTCTGAAGTTCGGATCCCGACGGACTTTTCGAACCCAGGGAGATGACCCAACCCCTTTACAACCGAAGGAAGAGAAAACGGAAAATGAATATACATAATCAACGACGAATCCGACGAAAACGACAATTTAAGAACCACGAAATGTAGAAGACACAGGATTTCTCTAATTACAGAACCCCGTTTAGCCATGGGAGAGATAGAGAATACTTCCGCGCGAGCACCGCTGGAAAACAAAACGAGCAGTGCGTCCGACCTCGACACCCCCGCCCTTCAGAAGGAAAAACCTCAACAAGCCACAAATGCGGAGCCCAAACATTTCCGAAGTCAAGATCCCGACGGACTTTTCCCAATCGAGGCACAAAAAGAGTAACCGCATTACGCAAAGGCCTTGGTAATGCGGATCCCGGCGGACTAAAACCATCACCCATTCCGAAAAAGAAACACCATCCTTCCATTATGTGAGGGAACGCTTCAACAAAAACACACATGTTTTTGTCTCGTATGCCCTGCACACGACCAGTGACCTGGCCGACGCACAGGATGGTCGTTCACATGTACTTGGAAGTTTGAAGGAGTGGTGGCTGTAGCATGCCGGCATGAGRAACTCCTCGCATCGACAGACACTGCGGTCACTGGCGCGCAGACAGAGTGGCGTTTGTCACTCCTTACCAGTTGGTTTGTGTCTCCGCTCCTTAATCGGTGAAGTTGGCGCGGGCAAGGCCAGCACGTCGAGAGCTTGAGTGTCGACGGGAGTTTTTTTCGGGGACGTGACATGTTGTCGTCCCCCGATCTCGCCTTCTCCTCCGCTGGCGATGGTCGGCGGCAGCATCGGAGAGTTCGTTGGCGAGAAAGCCACGACTGATCTAGCGGAAGGTTTGACGTCGAAAGGGTCGTCGACACCAGGCGTCGAGGACGCCTGCGCGGACATGTGGTGGTCGCCCAGGATGTCGTCGATAACTTCATCGGAGAGTTCGTTTAGTCAGGCTGACTGCAACACGAGCTTCGTTGAACCGGTGTTGGAGATCGACGGCAGACGTCATTGCTTGGACCTCATAGTCATCAATTTCTGCCGAAAGGCTTGTGACCACCTGTGTCTCCATATCCAGTGCTGTGTCATCGTCGTCGTCGTCTTCCTCGCGATGTTCTCCGCACAACTGTCCGAATCCGTCAGACGACTCCCCAGAGCTGCCATCATCGTCGCTGAACGTCCGTTCGTCGTCTCCAGTATCGAGTTCTCGTTTTTCCCCCTCTTTCTCTCCGAGCAACCCAGCCAACTCCGTTTCTTCCCCTTCCTCTCCTTCCTCCCCTTCATCCTCTTCTTCCTCCCCATCATCCCCTCCTTCCTCCCATTCCTCCCCTTTGTCTCCTTCCTCCCCTTCCTTCTCTTTGTCCATCACCCTGCCTTCTTTCCTTGCATGCAATCCAGCCACCTCGCCCGAACCCGTGTCGAATTCCGACGAATGCCCTTCCCACTCGCCGCACGCAGCCCCTCCCGCCGGCATCACCGAGCCGGCGGATGAAGTGGGCACGTCCGCTGACTGTGCCGAGCCTTCCGAACCGGGATCGGTAGACTGCTGACGCCCGAAGGCCTCCCCCGCCACCCCGCCGCTGCCTTCCGCTGTCGTGGTGTCGCCGTGAGACCCGCCCTCAGAACCAAGCGGGACTCCTTTGCCACCCCCAGCCTCGTCGCCCTCGTTCTCCCCACCGTCCTATCCCCGGGACCCTGTACTTACATCCGTCCCACTGGGAGGGGAGATTTTCCAGTCCACCCTTCCCTTCGATGGGCTTGTATCGAGGTCGTAGCACTTGTCCTGAAGTTCGGCGAACAATCGCCAGACTGTGGAAATGACGGACACGTCTTCGGGTGCAAAAGAATCATTCTCAGCCCTCACTTTCAGGAGTACCGCAATTCTAGTGACGTCGAGGAAGTCAGACTTCGACTCGCGAGGGAGGGGCATCCATCCTCCGTCCGGGACAGTGACTGCAACGATCCACTCACCCTTTTGGATCGCCGGCTGGATGACTCCTGGATGCTAAATCATGTCATGGCCCCAGTCCGCATACGTGGAACAACTTTGAGGCTCAGGCAGGAAGTGAATGTTGGCATCCTTCCAAGACAGATGATCGGGCGGGATGTCAGACCCGGGACGCAGTGAGTGATGGCCGGAGGCCAGAGCCTGCAGTCTCTGCAGCAACTTCATCGGGGTAGTGCCAGGCGCCGGTTTCACCATCGGTGAACCGAGGGATGTCGGGCTTACTGACGTACCTGCCAAGGACGACCCTGTAGCGTGCTGCACGGGATGTGGGTCGTACTGCACGTCGAGGCTTTTGGTGCCGCTGCCCTCCTCGTCCACGGTCGCGTCGAACTCGATGTCGGTGGTCTCCTCGTCTTCCGTGGAGATCAAGGAGGAGTAATTGTCGAACGTCCACTCCTCCTCTGACTCCACGAAGTACAGGGACTGCAACCTCTCGAGGAAGGTCTTCGCGTTCATGCGGGAGGCGCCGTGGTAGTTGTCGAGCAACGTGAATATGTGGTCCTTGCGGCGCACGTACTCGGCGTCAGTGTCTTTCTTCGGCCGTGTTTGCAGGAACAAGATGTCGTATATCTTGTTCCGCTTCCTCGCACTCAACTTGAACCACATGTCCTTCTTGTTGTTCCACGCGCGAGCCCGAGTCTCGGTGACAACCATAAACTCCCAATTGTGGGCACCCGAATTGACCTCGCTTTTGACGAGATCAATTGAAAATTCAAGCGCTCGGAGTTCCCTTCCATCGCGATGACGTTTCGTCCTGCCTTCAGTACTTCCCACACTGATCGCGCGTGTGGCTTCCGGAGGAAGACGACACCCTCCCCCTTCTTGGTGACGGATTCGAGAAGATTAACGAATTGCGCGGGGCTGCGTTCCATGTCCCCGTACACACTGCCCCGACGTGCAGGCGAGGTATGCGACCAGTCGCAAGGGCTCAACGGGATGTCGGACACATCCGTTTGCGTAACCTTTTGTGGTAGCCGCACTGCAGCAGCGGCGCCTACCGGCAGTTTCCCCTCGTAGACGACGGACGTGTTAGCGCGCAAATCGTCGTCTTTGAAGAGTATGTACATCCGGTCGTCTTCCGTGTACAAATTGTTCCCGACGGGGAAGCTTTTCTTCTGTTGACTCCTCCTCACCCACTTCCCTTCCAGCAGCTTCACGAAAGAAAGATGGTTCATGCTGGCCAGAAACGAGAGGTTCTGCTGCCGCGGGACGAAGACGACGAGCGTCCAATGCGACGGACACCACGTCTGAAGTTGGGAATCCAGAGTGTCGAACGCTTGCGGTTTCCAAAGCTTCAGGTCCACCGGTTTGCATAGATCAAGGACGAATGTGCGACTCTTTGTGGCAACCACTATCGTCTTCACCTCCGCACTCCTTATGTCTGCCTCCTAGCGGTCGTTGCCGAATGGCGTGATGGATGTTACGTCGCTCGTGTCTTTCTATTTTATGTGCACAATGCCTTCGGCGAGCACGATCTCGCGACTCTTCAGTCTACTGCCTGTCAACACGGACAGGACCTTATTCCTCCAATCGACAGACACCTTCTTGTGACCGGCCAACTTCTCCGTCGCCTCGATCGATCTGTCGTCGTCGCAGCCCATGTAGGGCGGGCTGTCGTTGAAAAGTGAGGAGTCAGTGACGTATTTCCTGCTCCCATCCCACAACTCAGCATCCAAACCACGACTCTCAAACTGTCTGAAAATCGTGGACCTTGATTTCAGGAATGGGCACCTCTAGCTCCAATCCGCGTCTGGCCTATTGTTGTGCTTGAACTGGTTGTAGTTCCACAGACGCACTAGCACCCAGTCGCACTTCACCAAATGCACCATCTCCTGGACGCTCAGCTTTCCGAGCTTCGCCAACGCCGAGGAGCCGGTCTGGACCCAAACCACCTCGCAAGCGAGCACCTTCTTCAGGATGCGGCACTTCTCGTTGTCGGTTAGCGACTCCATCGTTTTCCAACAATGTGCGTCCGGCTCAGGCACTTGCACGAACCACTCGCCCTCCTCCTCCTTTTTGCCTTTCTTTGTCGGCGGGTCCACATGGACGTTGTACACGACCTCCTTCCTGCCCAGTTTGTCGTTGTTGATGTAGGCAACCCCAGGCTTCACGTTTTTGACTTTCTTCTTCCGCATGATCCACTTTGCGCCGTCGTGTCCGAGCAATCTGCCTGTCTCCCATTTCTCGAAAAACTCAACGGCCAGTTTCCATACGTTCTCCCCTGCCATCGCCAGCGAGAAATAGGAACGCAGGGCAGCGCCTTGTTTCCTGATGGGCTCGTCGCCCTTCTGATCTGCGAGAATCCACAAGTTGTTGTGCGGTCTCATATTGAGCGCGACATTAGAGAATTCACGCCACTTCCGGACCTGATCCTGTTTTTCGCTGGGGTTCCCTATAACAGCACGTGGGCAACCGGCGCTCTTCCACTGCCACCTAATGTCTCTCATCGACATCTTCAGCTGTCGTGGGGGCGCCTTCAGGTCCTTCTTGTTGTCCTGGGAACTGACAAGGAAGTACCCTTCGAAGTCCCCGTCCGAAAAGTGGACCATTCGTGTTGGCCACCGCTCGAAATTGTATTTCCTGGCCACCTCGCTGCCGAGCAACGACCTCGCTGCAGCCGCGTTGTGCTGCCCACACACCGCGTAGTAGTAGTATTGTCCCGCCAGCTCATCCCTCCATTCCTCTGGCCTGAGACATTCTGCTTTGGTCCCCGGAGTCGGTTTATCAAGCCCCAGCGGTGCCACCTTCAGGTTAGGTAAATCATAAGACTGCACTTTGTTTTCGAACGCCAACCGCATCGCTTCGTTGATCCCTTCCACGACCACCGGATCCAGGGACCGTTGGTTGTACAGGTCCTCCCACTCCCCGAGGTCGACGACCTGCGCAGGGCTAATCTCGAACTCCCGCTTTGTCCGAACACCGTCTTTGTACTCTAGGAAGTACCCGACGTCGACGTCGGTGGGAGTCCCTGTTGTCGGTGGAGAAGACGGTCCAGACTCAGGCTGCTTCTGTCTTGAAGACGGTCATTTGGCAACCTGTCGGCCCTGCTCCCCCTCGGTCCCCTTGCGTTTCTCCCCCGCAGTCCTGGGGGCCTTGCTCTTTAACTTCTTCGCAGAACCGGCGTACTCGTCTGGACGATCCCCCCTCCTCTTTTGTGGAGCGCCTTGCGAGCCCAGGCCGCCCGCGGTTACCTCCTCTACACTCTGGCCCTCGCTCGCCTCCAAGTCGACCTCCGAAGAGGCTGCCAACTCTCCTGCAGGTTCCGTACTCTCCCGTTGAACTGGAGCGTCAGTCTGAACCCCAGGAATAGACAACACAGACCGCCGCGTGTCCCTCAACGGCGGAGCAGGCCCCTCATCCTCGCTGTCATGGAACTGACCTCAGCTCTCGCCACGGTGCAGTTGAGTAGCGGGACAAAAACCTAGATCACCGCCCTCCGCCGCTGCCCCGCTTGACTCGCAACCGCTACACAGCCTCAACGGCAACGAGAGCTCCAGGGAGTGGCCGATGTCGCAGGGGACGTTGAGAGCAATGTTCCTGTCCTCCAACATGTCGAAAAATTCACGCGCCAAAACAAATCCGCCCCCGAGAACGAGTTCTCTGTAGAACGAGGTGTTCATAGCACTCGCTCCGAACCCCTCACACAATTCGAGGTCCAACAACGTCCCTTTCGAATTGGCAACGACGTTGCCCTTGGCACCATAAACCTTTTGCATATAGAAATGTCGTCGGCCCCCCTTTGCGTCCTCCCACCGCAAAACAGCCCCAAGCACTCTACGCCTTCTGCTGTCGATGAAGATGACAGGACCACATGGCTGCGCAGTGGGGTTAGAAGCGTCTCCACAGCACCAGTCGATGAACCATTTCGACCTCGAATGGTTCGACCACCCCTTCGTGGCAGTAGACGTCCGCCTCGTGGAATCTTTTCCTGATTCCTTCCCGGAGGTCCCTGTTGGCTCCACCTCGCCCTTGGAAGAAGACATCCTGTCTGCGAAAAACAACGCAAATCAAAAACCACACCATGAAGTCATCGTCTGGCAAAGCACAGGAGAAACAGAACAGTCGCTGCCACACGCCAACGCAGGCTGCAGCGCAGCGAAATCCGCACACAAAGACACCCTGGCACCCAAATCCGGGACGGTGAGAACGGGTAGTCCGCCGGGATCCGAACCTCAATAGGGTATGAGACCGGGAGGCAGACAGAGAGAGAGAGTAGCAAGTGAAAACTCGCAGTGTGCATGGGATCAAGCGCTGTTTATGCAGCAGACGGGGCACCCGGAAGAACAAAGAGAGACCAACGCACAGTGAAAATCGAGAAGTCCGCCAGGATCCGAACTAAAGGACGGTGCGTGAGATAGAGACGGCGGAATTAGAATTCGGGAATTTTTCGCGGGAATCAACGGGCGGTCATGTTCGAAGCTCGCCCTCRACGGGGTAGTGTCCCCCGCGTAGCACTCGAAACCYGGACAGGCCAGCACGCAAAGTCCGYCGGGATCCGAMCTAGAAGAGGGTGCGAGAGATGGAGATAGAGTCAGTCATGCAGCCAGCGTCCCAGAACCGTGCTCGAGCAAACACACTCCGRAACTGTTGTCGGGCGGGTTGTGCGATCCACCCGGAACCACGAAGACCAAAGACAAACCAACGCACCTCCCGAAACGTGAAGTTMGTCGGGATCCGAACTTCAGGAYGATGYGACARGCAGAGACGGCGTCAGAGACACACGATCCSCAAGTCTATGGTTGTCAAACTCAACCACGACTCGGGAAGGCCACACTGACATRAAAGGCTRGTTGAAAAGGAGAAGTCCGCYCGGATCCGAACTTCTTCTGATGTCCGATTTCGCGGTATGCACAGCTCGGCACTGGATGAACCCAAGTTGGAAAGCAGCATCCGCGACAACATTTTAGGGGTCCCTGGACTAGGGTTGTCGTTGCAATCCACGGGGGATCCGGAAGACCGCTGTCTGTTCCAATAGACAGGCGACACTGGAAGTTCACCGGGATCCGAACTTCAGGAGGCTATGAGAAAGAGAGACAGAGAGAAATACTGGAGCAACTACGAGTCTAGACGCAAGACGGGGTCTGACCATGGCGCTCGAGGAAAAAAAASGGGGTCCCACAKCTGACCGCAGGTTTTKATGGCAGCARTCATTGAGTCCGTCTGTGCAACTGGCCACAATCGCGATCCAGCATCTCTAAAGACTACCCGAACAACTGATTAAATGCCGGCTCTGGAGGGGAATACTGTTTGTAGAGTGCGAAACTTTGCGCAAAAYAGATCCAGATCCAACAAGAAGGCYYACCGAACTTGCCCCATTTGCGATTYAGCATCCCGAAAGATTGCCCGAACAACTGATAACATGTGGGATCCGGAGGGGAATTCTGTTTGTGGAGTGCGAAACTCTGCTCAAAACAGATCCAGATCCAACAAGAGGGCCCGTAAGAGTGCTTTTGGTATTTCGCAAGGACATTGATCGACTGTTTGGCACATGTTGATGGCGGTCGGACGACAACCGCATACGGAAAGTGTTTGCGAAGTTCAGTTGGTGGAGGACTCAGATCGCAAGAATGTCCAGGCGGAATTGGTTGCAAGACTGTTTCGAGGGCCGTGGTGGACGGGGTTTCGGCCTCCGCCAAACACTCGAAGCTCGAAGGCCGGTCGGACGCACAGGCCAAAACGCGAAGTTCGCCGGGATCTGAACTTCAGCAGGGCGCGACACGGAAAGACACGGCGTGCACTAGAACATGCTGCCTCTCACACCTTCCTCCACTACTCAATATCTGCCATTTTCGGCAGCACACAAGCCTCTCACACGCCTCCCTTCTTTTTGCTTACACACAATGTCTAACCACACGTCCAGATCTAGTGACATTTGGGGTTCCCCGGGGACGAGGTTGTGAACCGAAGCCATACAAAGTATTCATTGATGATCCGTATACGCGGATCAAAGGATCGTCGACCGTTGCACTCTCCGAAAAGACGGACATGTATTTCATCCTAACAAACACTCCCGGTCGTGCTAAGGAATTCCCTGTACAGTCTCGTACATCGGACACTTTCTCCTCGACCTCATGATGCAACGGAAAGTTTTGGACCGGCCATGCTATCACCAAATCTCGCCACCCATCTACACGAGCAGGCCCGCGAGTCGGCATGACTTTGGACCCCTCAATTGCCACCTCGTTGCGTGATAAAAGCACAACTGCATCGACAAGTTTCCTATTCTTGTTCGAAGTAGCGACACACAGAACCTTGGCGAAATCAAATCCGGACACAGTTAACCGCACACAACAGTACGACACGGCTTGTGGAGAATTCTTGGGGCAACGGAGCGGGTACTACTCCAGGAACAGGCAGTGACGAGCGCATTCCACCAACTCTCGTTTCCGCGAGCCTCCCCAAGTTCGTGGCGACGACCTGACATAGTGGCACTCGAGGCAACTGAAATAGAGGCTAATGCAGCTTAGTGCTCTGCGCATACGGTTCAGGAACTTGTGGCCGAGGACAGCGTCGGGCAGCGGGATGAGGTCCACAAACTCCAGCATGTTGGCGAACTTGTMCTGGCCTGCCCAMGGGCAGTCACTCTCCATCGTGGCCCAATTGTCGTCACACMAACCGTCAWTATGTCCGTCCATGYACGGGACGACRGTCATCCAGGGGTCCTCCTCGAAGTCCTCCGCGGTCGYTCCGTGGATCGTAGTCACRYTGTTGAAATGCSTCACGGATCTYGCACAWGGAGAAAACGGTTCTGCCAAGCGAATGTGCGTCTCGGGTCTCATGGTCTGTGGTGTCGAGAAGATCGACTCCATGATCCGTGGTGTYGAGAAGGTCRCCTCCATTACCCACCCTACACACCACGMGCACACACCAAACGATACAGRCGGGCACGTTGACACTCATAAACAGAGTTGGTGAACTRGAACTSGCGTGGGCACGCCCACACGTCGTCGTCAAGGCCCGAACTGAAAATGCACGAGGTTCCACATGCCTTCTCGCGCTGCACATGCACAGGGGAATGRACCTCCAGCCGATGTTTCAGTGCAACTGCCTTTAATCCCYGTGATCGAACCACATTGTCCGCACGGATYATTSTTGCACTGGCAGTCGAYGTTCACAGGCCGTACTCGRAGAACCATCACGGTTCCCAAGACGCAYGAGGCATGYGAAACCGCGTCATGYGAAACCGCSAAGTTCGCCGGGATCCGAACTTGACGATTGTGYGAGGAGCCATGTTTGCGCGAAACACWYGAGGCGGRASGTCTACCACGACRTGATCATTYGCCGTTATCATGCTGTCSCGTTTCGCTTTCTGCGACCTCTTGTCCTAGAGGAAGTGTACGTTCGAAGACCCRTTTCGGAATTCCGTGAAGTCCGGACTCGAGGAGACTTGGTSTTCTTGTYACATCCAYGGGCCAGCAGGCGAGCCGCTARCATGTCYCGCGAATGGCGGGAACGTAATGTTCGCCGTGATCCGAACTTGRCGAATCTGCRCGGGAGAGACAAAGCTGTCTCTCCCACTCGCCATCCCAAACTTGCTTGAACTTCGGATCCCGRCGAACTTCGCATTTTCACGAATCYRAAGTTGTGCCAATCAACCGGGCGCCAGAAAGCCCACAGTCARAACCCGCACCATGCAGAAARCGAAGYTCRTCGAGGTCCGAACTTGACRATTGTACAAGGAACCGTGCGYRTGAAGTTCGRATCCCGGCGGACTACGCATTTTTACAAAATCGTAGTTCAACGGAGTCCGAACTTGTCGATTGTGCGTGGAACCGTGCAAGTTATGTTCGGATCCGCGGGCCAGAAGACGAGCCGCAAACATGTCTTACGAAAGGCGGGAACACGTTGACACTCATAAACGGAGTTGGCGAACTGGAACTGGCATGGGCACACCCACACGTCGTCGTCAAGGCCCGAACTGAAAATTCACAAGGTTCCACATGCCTTCTCGCGCTGCACATGCACAGGGGAATGGACCTCCAACCGATGTTTCAGCGCAACTGCCTTTAATCCCCGTGATCGAACCACATTGTCCGCACGGAGCATTGTTGCACTGGCACTCGACGTTCACACGCCGTACTCGGAGAACCATTACGGTTCCCAAGACGCACGAGGCATCCGAAGCCGCGTCATGCGAAACCGCGAAGTTCGTCGGGATCCACGATTGTGCGAGGAGCCATGTTTGCGCGAAACGCACCAGGCGGGAGGTCTACCACGACGTGATCATTCGCCGTTATCATGCTGTCCTGTTTCACTTTCTGCGACCTCTAATCCTAGAGGAAGTGTACGTTCGAAGACCCGTTTCGGAATTCCGTGAAGCCGAGACTCGAGGAGACTTGGTGTTCTTGTCACATCCACGGGCTAGTAGGCGAGCCGCTAACATGTCCCGCGAATGGCGGGAAGTTGCCGGGAACGTAATGTTCGCCATGATCCGAACTTGGCGAATCTGCACGGGAGAGACAAAGTTGTCTCTCCCACTCGCCGTCCCAAACTTGCTTGAACTTCGGATCCCGTTGAACTTCGCATTTTCACAAATCCGAAGTTGTGCCAATCAACCGGGTGCCAGAAAGCCCACAGTCAGAACCCGCACCATGCGGAAAGCGAAGTTCGTCGAGGTCCGAACTTGACGATTGTATGAAGAACTGTGCGCGAGAAGTTCGGATCCCGGCGGACTACGCATTTTTACGAAACCGTAGTTCGCCGGAGTCCGAACTTGTCGATTGTGCGTGGAACCGTGCAAGCTAAGTTCGGATCCGCGGGCCAGCAGACGAGCCGCAAACATGTCTTACGAAAGGCGGGAACCTGAAGTTCGCCGAGATCCGAACTTGGCGAAATTTCGAGGGAGAGACACAGTTGTCTATCAAAGTCGCCATCCCGTGCTTTCTTGAAGTTCGGATCCCGACGGACTTCACATTTCCACAGGTCCCTTGYTGTGGTTGTGCACTGGGGGTGCACCGCGTGTTGGGTCTTACGAAAGGTGGGAACCTGAAGTTCGTCGGGATCCGTACTTGGCGAAATGTCRTGGGAGAGACAMAGCTCTYTWTCAAACCCGCCTTCCCATTCTTTCTTGAAGTTCGGATCCCGRCGGACTTCACATTTTCACAGGTCCCCCGTTGTGGTTGCCCGCTGGGGTTGCACCGCGTGTTGGGTCTTAYGAAAGGCGGGAACCCGAAGTTCGTYGGGATCCGTACTTGGCGAGATTTCGTGGGARAGACACAGTTGTCTAATATCAAACTCGCCTTCCCGTACTTTCTTGAAGTTCGGATCCCGGCGGACTTCACATTTCCACAGGTCCCCCGCTGTGGTTGCCCGCTGGGGTTGCACGGCATGTTGGAACAACTGCACAAGTTCGCCCGCATCAGGGGTTCACATGTTGTCACGACTGGTCATCGGAGCACTGTCGTTGGCCATGCCTGCCTTCGCACTTGACATGTCGCGAAATCGGTCGGCAAAAGAAGTTCGGATTCCGGCGGACTTCGTGTATCCGACCGAAAGACATCGGTCCATTGATGCACCTGCGCATATCGACATGTTTGGGTGGGTGTGCRATTCGAGGGGCGCATTCAAGGGCCAGACGAAAATGCCAACATCGCCTGAAACAAAACTTCTTCCGGTGTYGAATTGCGCGATCAGTTCGGTTGGTATAGCCAAGGTCGTGATGGCGGATTGGGACGACCTCGTTCCGATTTCGAGGACTGTGCCGGCGACGCGGGGTGTGGTGGCTGCTCAACGTTTGTCGTTGGATGACCAACAAGTTTCAATGACCGACGAGGTTCGACGTCCAGTGGCGTTCGATGTCTGCCGAATTTCGATGCCCGCCGAGGTTTAATGAAGCGCTAGGTTCGATGGCCAACAAGGTTCGATGGCCGACAAGGTTCGATAGCCAACAACGTTTGATGTGCGATAAGGTTGTGACGAAGTGTTTTTTGTCCATTCGCGAACATTGATCGACCTTTTTGCCACCGGTTGTCTAATCCGTTCACGGGTTCCAATCATGAGCTTGATCAATTACCTTGCGAGTTGCGTGCGATCAATGGATTTGTCCGCTGGTCGAATGCAGTGCAATCGGGATGAGAATAGTGAATCACTCGGCTGACATAACGGTGAGCTGGTCGGTGAGCGGCCGATCAATCAACCAGTCGACCAACCACCAACCGGGCAGTCGATCAATCAGTTGCTCCTGGCATATCTCCTGACCGATCGACTGTTTGGTCGAAGTCTGTCGACCAGTTTGATGGATCGGTCGTTCGCCTGCCAGTTGAGCGATCACACAAAGGGTGCTGCCACGAATGGCACCCGAATGAAACGAGTGGAACACAGAATAGTTTATAGTGATGATGCAACACACATACGCACACGCGCACACACAGACACACGCGCATCGCCATGTGTGTTTCGATTGGCCAGGAGATTTGTGAGGATCAAATTATTTTTTGGCTGTATGGTTGGTGGACTGGTAGATCAACTGGTCGTCCATTCGCCAACCGAGCAGTCGTTCAGTCATGTTGGTCCTGGCAGATCTCCTGACCAATCTACTGTTCGGTCGGGGTACAACAACGAGTTTGATGGATCGGTCGCTCGCCGGCCAGTTGAACGATCGCTCATAGGGTGCTGCCACGTTTGTTTTGATGTTACCATTGAGACGAGCTAAACGCACACACGGTGACAACGTTGGGACAGCACACACGATCAATCGACCGATCGCGAACTCTCTGTTCGTGTTTGGCGAATGGTCGATTGGATGCGCCTACTGTCCCRACAATATCACCTCCTGCTTTGATTAATYWTCCATTGGGCAGATCAGGGGCGGCATYATTGCGACATCACGCAGSATCAATCTTGATTGGCCTGTTCATCGCGTGTGAGGTGTCGCCGATGTCACCACGTGCTAGATCGTGATAGACCRGTTRAACACAACTGGAGCTCACGGTCGCGCACRCACACACAAACACACACCCGGTGGTAACGTTGGGGCGGCACTCACAATCAATCGACCGCTCACGTGTGGTCCTCTTGTATTAAACTGATGAATGGAGAAAGATCCGATCGGGCGCGCGGTGATTATGTTTCGTGATTGGTCACCTCGGGCTCGATCGGAGCTTTCGTCATTCATCACTTAATCAGGTCATGAGAACTACCCACACTCGATTGATCCTGTTTGCTGCCCCAATGTCATAGCCGTCGATCTGCCCAATGGATGATCAATCGAAACACGCGGTGACAATGTCGAGACATCGAAAGTATCCAATCGACCAATCGCGAAACACGGTCAGAGTAATCTGATCGTGTTCCGCGCTTGATCGAGATCCGCACACCAGATTACAGTTGTGCGTTAGAACGTACGCAACCGCCGGATATTCCGCGCACACATCGCTCAACGCCCAAACACAGCAGGACCACACTCGGAATGCAAACCATATCATTCATCCTTGACCTCACACCTTCGCGACAACCTCCGCGCGTACAATCTGCGCAACCACACATACACACACACAAACAGACACACGCACACACACATACACGCACGCGCACACACGCCACGCACACACACAAGCCCCTCACGTACAAACACGCACAATACTTCCTTGCACGTGTGTAGTACACTTCATACGTGAACACAAAAAAAAAATCACTCGAACACACACTCACGTATGCACACACGAGATGCGCAGACAAACAACCTCACACAGTCACACACACACACACAACCGCCCGCACACATACAAACACACACTCGTTCAATCTCCGCGGACATGTCAGCACAAAACCCACCCACAAGCGCACACATAAACACACATGTCCCGGCTGCGTGCGCACTCACCGTGTGAGACTGACGAGTGGAGATGCATGCGGATCCCGACGTCGATCGAGACAGCACTGCGCCGACCTTTTGCTGTGCGCTTTGTGTTTGCGATGGTATTGCGTGGAGCGGCGGACGCGCTTATCCAGAACAGATCCCCGCAGCGTCGACGGGATGTCGACACGCGACGTCGAAGATGACGTGGACAACAACTTGGGAGGTGGAGGGAGATGCGTCGAAGCAACGGAAGCAAGCACGGTTTAGAACGGGTGTCCGTTCGCTTTGCCAGCTATGGCGCTCCAGCTGTGCGGGGCGATGGTGTTGACGATAGTGGTGGTGTGATGCGTCCGTCCGGCGGCATCTCCCCAGCAAAAACGCAGAACGCGGCGTTTTTGCCCCGGGTGGCACTCGTATTTGTAGGAGCGTGGGTGTCGGGTCCCCTTCGGGTCTTCCATTTCGGAGTGCCGTGACGCTGCGCGACTGTTCGGTTCGCGCATCGAACGGTGGCTACACGTCAAATTTCCCGCGAGGGGGACCTGGTGCGCACGACATGGCAAAAATGTCCCTGCAGACAGGCCCTTCCCGGGCGTCATGAAAAAGGGCCCTTGTTCCTGGACCCTTGCGTTCGTGTCGTTGCGTTCGCGGGCCCGGCTCCAGGGGTTCTCAGGCCGCGCGGGGGGGCGGTTTGTATTTTCCGGTCTGTGGACATTGCGAAGTCGGGGGGGGGGGGGGGGGGGGGGGGGGGGCGGGTTTTCGCAGTGGACATTGCGGATCGCATGTCCATTGTGCGTCTTCTAACATGGCATCTGTGCCACTTCCTTCGAGGGCGGCCGACGTGCATCTTCGAACCTAGTGTGGGGTGCGACGCCAGATGAACACCTCCCTGGGGTCTGGTGCTGCCCATTTGCGTCTCCTGCCCGACGAGCTGATCCACACGACGTCACGTCCGGGACGTCCTCCATCGCCTGCGCCGATCCGTTGTCGCACCACGTGTCTCCGAGAGCGAGCGTCGGGATTTCCTCCCGCCATCGCGTCAGTCGACTGAGCTTTGACATCCCGTCTCTGCGTTCCGCGTCAACGCGTATCTGCTGCGGTCTGCGCTTCGCCCTCGTGAGATGGCCGAGCGCGCCGTTCAAGGTACAGTGTTGTTCTGTCTGGCCACATGTCCTCCATCGACTACAACTGCTGGCGTTGGCGTTGAGGTACATGTTTGTGTGCCCATAAGACGCGCTGCATCGTGCCACATGTAGCGGGTGGCGGGTACTACTGTCATCGTGTCAGGACTCGCGCCTGCGGCATCCATCCCTCCATTCCCGCTTT